AGAGAGAGAGAGAGAGAGAGAGAGAGAGAGAGAGAGAGAGAGGGGGATGGTGCGGGGGCTAAATCTAGCAGCAAACCAGACAAGACCAGCGGCGCTGGTACCGCGTGGCGTGGTGGGGCGTGGCGGAGCGTGGCGGAGCGTGGCAGGGCAGGACGGGCCGGGGAGGTAACAAGTCCCCGTGACACACTGGCACGACCGGGTCTACGCTACAACGTTACCGGTGGTGATTACTGCGGAGCGCCCCCCCCCCTTGCCCGCCCCTATTACTCTCTCTCTTTCTCTCTCTCTCTCTACCTCCCTCTTGCTCTCTCCTCAGCCTCCCCCTGCTGGCTCTCCAAACGCCCAAAACCCCTGCAGCACGCGCTGCCGGGCGGCCGGGGGGCGTGCGCCCAAGGAGCAAAAGGGGGAGGGAGAGGAGGGGGGAGGGAGTTTGTAATCCGGGCCGGGCGTGTTCACAGTAATGCAGCAAGGAAGGCACATGGCGGGGCGTGGCGGGGCGTGGCGGGGCGTGGCGGGGCTTGGCGAGGGCGGGGCCTCATCCAGGTGAGATGGCCACGCGTTACCTTGCGGCCAGGCCCGAGCGCGGGGGGCGCACGAGGCCCTTGAGTGCGCCCTATACTCTCTCCCCTGAGGGTTGTCCGCCGCAGAGCTATACAGGCAGACCTGAGGGGGGCAAGGGCAATGTGTGTCCGGCAGGGCGTGCCAGCTACTGCCCCCCCCCCTCTCTCTCACACACACACACACACACCCCTTCAACTTAACCTGACCCTGAAAAGAAGAGTCCCGGCCCACTACTACAGTCCGCCGCCCGCGGCACGGCACGCGCCTACAGGAGAGCTGGCCCGCGACGCCCCTCGCCCGGCCGCGTGCAGCCAAGAGGCTGCAAATTAGGCTGCAAATTAGCTAATTACCTGGAGGCGGGGTTGCGCCAGCCTATTCACCGCCTCCGCCGTGCGGGGCGTGGCGGGGCGTGGCGGGGCCCGCTTAGAGTACCGGGCCTTGTCGTCGTTACGACCCTCGTGTACAAGTTGAATGAGCCTCGAATTTCGGCCTCCTCTTTTAGTGTCTATCTTTTCCGACCCGCAGGCTCCTACATCTTTTCATTTCTTTGAGTGTGCATGCGCATTCGCGCGCGCGCGCCTCTGTGTGTGAGTGTGTGTGTGAGTAACGAATTGTTTTTGACGACACCCCCCCAAGCTGTAGCGCTTGCTTCATAGTAGCACGAGGGATTTTTGTTCCGAGTTCGCGTCGCTCTTTCATACTTATTGCGCTCTCTATCACTCGTTCTCTAGCTCTCCCCCTCTCTCATCTTCTCGGCTATGTCGGAGGGATTGCAAAGCACAAGTGCCACGCGCTACAAACCCCTAAAATCCTTCTCTCCTTCTGTCTCTCTCTCTCTCTCTCTCTCCAATTCCCTTCCCAGTCTGCCCCCCTCACTCTCACTGGTTTTCTCTCGCTCTCCTACTGCTTCAGCTACGCCCCGCCATCGCGACTTTGTATTGCGCGATAACAGGGGATATTAACTTATAAATCAACACTTTTTTGGCGGCCATTATGTCCCGACAGAAAGGCATGTATGGAGTTGTAAATCAGCAGGCTCCGGCCCGCGTACTAGTGGGCACCGGACTGTGTGTGTGTGTGTGTGTGTGTGTGTGTGTGTGAGAGAGAGAGAGAGAGAGAGGGGGGGGGGCAGAGAGAGACTGTGAATAGCGGTTAGTCACGTGGTAGGAGGACCGTGGTGGCTCGACGCTACAATCTGTGCAAATGTGGGGAAACAAGAAGGTACTGCAGGTGCTGGTTTCGCAAGAGGAGCGAGCAAGGATCGAGAGAGTAGCGAGCAAGGAGTTAGCGAGGCGCGTAAAGAGAGAGGGGGGGGGGGAGTTAGAAAGGAAGCGGAAGCAGAAATAAAAAATTGCGAGAGCGGGCACAGAAAGGGGGTAGCGAGCAGCAGTGGGGGAGGAGCCACCAACAAGTAGTAATGACGACGGAAGTCTGGATCACCATCATCATCATGAAGGAGGAGGAGCAGGAGAGGAGGAGGAGGGTGGCAACTCAACTCGCATCAGCGGCGAAAATAATATACGACATTCCAACAGCAGGACGGAGAGTGAGGGCAGAGAGAGGAGAAAGGGAGTGTTTGGGGGGGGGGG